TGAAATTGTAGTGAAATTATTTGCTTTGTCCAGAGAGGAAAAATTGACTCCAAGCTTGTTTATAACAAAGGATATGTGTTGCAACCAATGAGATGGGAGACATGGGTTTTCCCAGAAAGATAGTTTAGCAAAACACACCAAAACAAAGACCACGTCATGTGGCAGTTAAGTGTGTAGTGGGTATCCAACATATGACAGGCTACTTCTCAAGCTCTGACAAAAGAATAGATTGTGTATGTCCATTACAACTTGGTTCACAGTACTTAAAGCTACTATAGTTCCTCCTACAGGAGCAATCATTGCTTCTTATGAGTATTTATTGACTGGCCTCAAGGCAAAAGAATGACACAGATCCAGAAACTGCTTGAAGAGAATGCCAGGTGTGTTTCTTTAATCACAGTATTTCCAAGCATAACAAGCAGGACTCTAATTACATAGCCCTGCTCAAAATACAATGTTGTAAAGATCTCTTTAATTCTGATTATGTAACTTGTTCAGAAAACAGGACACAGTCTTGTATGTCAGGGAATGCAAATCTCTGTCCTCTTATTGTAGGCTTTTAGGATGACCAGGCAGTAACTCCATTCATTAAGGGTGAGAAGTGGTGCAGAGTGTTACTGACTGTAATGGTCCCTTCTGTCACCGCAAAACTGAGAAACTATCCAAAACAATGTTGATGTTTGAGAGGAAACTTAGAAACCCTTCAGAGAAAAATCCCATCCTGTTCCTTTCCGCCCAAGTGAATAGGTAAACTACAGTATGAACAGGCATTTACAAAGTGCAGTAATTTGGTCCTAGTTCCAATCCCATCCACATGAGCCCAGAGCATAGTTAGAGCGTTGCTATATAAGAGGCTGAGCTGGATTCTCCAGAGGCCATTTGGTCACTAAGGAATCTCTTGAGCAAACTTCTTCCTAGAGGGGACAGAGGTTCAGCCTAATTCAGCTTCAGTGATCTTGAGTCTGTACCTGAATACTGAGATGAGATGGTGACATTTTGTTGTACAGTACCCAGTGAAGCAAGGCAGTATTTCACTTTGTAGATTGGAAGACTAAAGCATAGTGAGCCAAAATGATGTCCCACAGTGCTAGAGAAGGTATGTAGCTAATCAAGAGAAGGAATCTAAGACCCTAATCTCTGAGATGCCCCTAAGAGGTGACACATCAACAGCGTTCAGAATTGTACCAACTTTCTCACTGTTGACAGTAGTGAGATGTAAGCGTGGAGAAGCGAGCTATAAAAGGTCAGGCAGTTTGACTCAGAAAGCAGAATTATTTCTATAAATGACCATCTGTAGATCTATACCAATGCTATGCTTCCAGCTGACCTAGCCATCATCCCACACATACTTAAATTGACACCAAGTTGAATCACCTTGACTGCTGTAACTGGAATATTGTCATTCAAATCTACACTGGCTGATAGTCTTTGTTCAGATCTGTAAATGATCTTCCTTTTCTGTTGAGATTCATATGGTTAATAATAAACACCCCATGGAGAAATAAACAGAGAAAAAGTGCACTCAGCAACCAGGGAGCTAAACTGGCTATCGGCAGTTGTACTGTCTACCCTAGTGATGTAACTTATAAGAGATCCCATTTGTGTTCACTGTAGGCAACGCTATAAAAAATATTCTATAGACCTAATTTTCTACACTCAGTAATGTGTAAATGGTAAATCTCCTTCTGATTGTCATGACCCTGTGCAGCTTCTCTATTTCAGTAGCACAATTAGGAAAAATCATCTGTACCACCTAAGTTATGTTTGCAGTGAAAGCCTCCAGCTGCAGTCAACAGGACATGTGTATGCATGCACATGTGATTAATAGCTCCTTATTTGCAGAATAATGACGTTTCCAGGAAGCATTTTCAATGAAAGACAGATGCAAGGTTTTTAATGATAACTGTATGGGAGCATTGTTCAGTTGTGGGTACTCTATCCTGGACTTCTAGGATACTTCCATTTTAGAGGAAGCATTTCCAGATATTTGGAAGGATAAAATCTTAGCCAAGAATTTAACGTTTCTTAAATGTTGATATGTTACTGTTACTGTTTTGAGTAAGTGTTACTTCTTTTTTCCCCAAACCTCTGCCAAGCAGCCTACATCTCTGCATTTCTCTTGAAAATATTTTTCAGGATCAAATAGTAAACTCACAGTGTGCTGTCTCCATACCAATGTTTTTTGTTTGTGTTTTTACATAGTTTACCAAATACCTAATGTTGTATCAACGTATAACATACATTCCTAGCACCTGTGGGTCAATTTCACAATATTTGGAATGATTTCACCTTCTGCTAAAGAAAACAAGATGTGACAGTATCCCACATATGGAGTCCAGCAAGAAAGAGAGAGAGTAAATACTCAGCTATCTGCCAAGTACTGATGGTTTCTCTGCTCTTGAGAAGATACCACAGTCTGCTTCTCAGCTTACCCATTACATATATGGCTGAGCAGTAAAAAGGAGGTGAAAAACGGACCTCACAAATGTTCAGTCTGAGAATTCCCAAATGCTCTGCTATACCAGGAAGCAGGTCTATTTTTCAGGACCAAGTTGTGCTGATGCTAGCTGATATAATCATTATGCAATTGTGCAGGCACTGGGACTAGCCAGAGTACACTGTATTCTAGTTATATACCTTACCAGACCACAGAGGAAGCTTCTTGTCATCTGGAAATTTCTTCATGCCAGAGTAGTACGAAGTTCTCTACCAGAAGTTTTGGGATTTCTTATTTAAGATTCACTCATACCACAACTTAAAAAGTTCTACTTTTCCAGCTGACTTTCCCAGATGAAGAAAAATACTGCCAATAGATAAGTGCCACATAGCTGAGACTTTTTTATCACCATCCATCATAATTAAAAGGAAGTCAAGTCATCATTGTGCCTGCATAAATTCTTATGGCAGTTTCTCAGTCATTCTAAATCATTGTTTGTGTGGATTTTTTTTATAGATAGTTGCATTCTTTGTAGAACAGAGAGGATGTTAGGTCCAATTTCTTGACCTAATTCTGGCTTAGGTAGTTATGCTTTGCCTGCCTGATTTATCTGCTGTGATTGTGGGTGAATATTTGCTTCCATCTTGTATCATAGTGTTTTGTTTTATTTAATGCATTGCTGTGTTTCACAGCAGAGGTGTCTGTGGGATGGTCATGTCATGTGGGATGCAATGTGTCTTGAAAACATAAAGAATAATTAGTGATATTCCCATAATAACTGAGCAATTCTACAACAGTATTCAAAGGGAAACTGGGTAATATACTTAGGGAGTGTTAGAGAAACTCCTGGATTTCTGAAGAGAGGTGTTTCAGGTACTCTGCTCTGACTACAAAATCAATCAGTCCTGTGAGGAAGCAGCTGATGAACTGTTTTCACAGAGTTAGATTTTGAACTTCCTTTTTAATGAGTCCCTTTCAGTTAAGTTGCAGCCGAAAGAGCCCAGAGATAGAATTTGGTATTGGCCCATTGACTGTGGACTGTTGCCAGACACAGACCTTAGTGACTGTACTTTCAAAGTAAAATGGATGATGTACTCCCATCCACAAAGAACTGATTATATTAGTGTTACTCTCCTGCCTTGTCTTGCTGAAGGTCTGAAATTCCTTTCCTGAGTTGTTATGAATCTTGAGTCAGATCGCCTCCCCTAAAGTGTGTCTCAGTGCCCATGTATGGAAGAATATTTCTTCTGTGATCACAACAAATGCTTAGGTTGCAAAGGAGAGAGCATTTTCCTAGAAGGAGAGAACAACATATGATAAAATTTTACAAGTGTGGAAAACAAAGGAACCTAAGTTGCTTTATGCCTTTTAGGTACTTTCAAGTCTGCAATTTAAGTCCATAAATCATTTTAGTGCTCCTGAATATGTTAACCACCATCTGTTTCTTTAATGATGCTGTGTCTGGCTCAGGAGATAAGTGTTTATGAAAAGTAATGAAGAAGGGGTTTTGGTATTTTGATACCATCATGAAAATGAGATATTGAGGTATCCAGCAACTTTCCAAAATTTTGAACTTCAGGAGGACACTTCAAGATAAAATGGTGTTTATATGCTACGTGCTTTTAGAATATGTAAAATATGTGCTAGTGTTGCTGAACACATAATACAGGTTCTGGTGCTAAAATAATAGTCTGCCGGCTTCATTTGCAGATGTTTGTAGTAGTGTTAAGGACAGTTCTATGTTCATGCCATTCAGTTTATAGTCTCAAATTCTTTGAGTATTCACTTGTGTAGGAGTCACATTTTGAAAGAGAGATTCATCCTTCAAGGAGAGAAAGGAAGTTTTTGATAAAGCTTTAGAAAAAACTTGACCAGATCAGGACATGGTCACACAATCATTCAGGTTGGAAAAGGCCTCTAAGATCATCTAGTCCGACCTGTAGATTGTCTAGTCCAAACTTTAATTCCTGAAAGGACTTTTCTCAAAAGCATACAGGTACTGCCCTGACTCTGGAAAACTAAAGATTACCAGAGCATTGCCAGGGAAAGATAAGTATATATCCCCAGTTACCACACACTTTTCTCTGAAGTGTGTGTACCTGTGCTGCAAATGGGAAATAAATATAATCTGACAACACACTGAGGCAATGCTTAGCAAAAAGTTGCTTAGCAAAAGTTGCTTAGCAAAACCCAGCAACTTTTTCACAAGCAGAAAGCGTATGCACAGAGATTAGAACAGAACTTTAGAAGTCAGTGGATGGACCCTTGTGGTGCTGTGGGTAAACTCCAGGAAGTGATAGTCTGCAACTTTGAGCATTCAAAGAAGTGCCAGTACAGCATATAGTTGTATTCTCAGTCTGTATTAATCACTGCCTGTAAAGAAACAGCTAGAGGAAAAAAAGCAATCAAAGCAGAGGTCACACCAGAAAGAACATACAGAAACACTTGCTATGATTATGTGTAAACCAACCACAGGCTCTGTTTACAAACCTTTCCATCTGTTCCTTTGCCTAATCATTTCTGCTTTCCCTCTCTGTCTTCTAACTTTCCTTCGTCTTTCCAGATGCAGGACGCTATGGGCTATGAGTTACCATGGGTGTATTTTGTCAGTCTGGTCATCTTTGGATCCTTTTTCGTTCTAAATCTGGTTCTTGGTGTGTTGAGCGGGTAAGCTGACAGTTTTGGTGTCCTTTTTCCAATGCTACAGGGCAAGACTCCATAATAAGGGTTCTTCCCTGTCACCAGGATTCTTTTGGAGGAATTAAAAACCCGAATCAAGGAAGCTTTCACAAAATCTTGACAAATATTCAAACTTGGCAAATAACAATGCAGGTAACAGAAGAGGTGTGCTGACAAAGAAATTTAATGTCTGTGCATCCAAAATTGCTAATGTCAACCTTCCATAAACTTCCAGAAAAATGATTATTGAAAATTTTATTGCTGGTGACTTGGGATCTCTTTGGCTGGAGCCTTGCAATGCTCAGAAACTGAGCTTGTCTCACTAATTATCATTCCACTCTTCCAGGTCAATGATGCCATAGGAAGGGACTGGCCCTGGATCTATTTTGTTACACTAATCATCATAGGGTCATTTTTTGTACTTAACTTGGTTCTCGGTGTACTTAGCGGGTAAGCAGTACCAGGAAAATGTTTTATTATTGTTTATTTTTTAAAATTTGTATTTCTATTCCTACTCTGTTGTTACCAAAACAACGGGCAATGGTGGGTTGATCTCAGGAATCTTTATAGAAGACCTGAGCTATTGCTGTGCAAATAGCAAAACATGGCATTCCTAATGGCATTGAAAGATTCTTTTGATAAAATCAAGGGGAAAAAAAAAAAAAGACAACTATGCCCGTAACTTTCCTCTACCTAAAACCTCTACCTATTCTCCGTGGGAGGAGGACAATATATGTTCCACTGTTTAACTGCCTGTGGGTGAAGCATACCATTCACCACAGAAGGGGATTACAGTAAAATCTCTAGAAGAGTCATTGGGACTGAAGGAGGAATGAGAGCACGAGACAAATCCTTTCACAGTTGTGGGATGAGATTCCTGCCAAATTATGTCTTCTCACATGAGAAATTTTCACATTGCTTAATATCTCTAAAGCACAGCCTAATGGGAGACTGTTTTCCCTGGAGAGTGTCTTGGACATGTTTCTTCTTCAATAAGCACATCTTCTCTGTTGTGTGGATTACAAGCCTAAAATTATGCAGGGAGGAAAGATCATTTCTCTCTGACCTTTCCTAAGGATGAACAGAGAAGCAGGATAATTTCTTCTAGTGTTTAAGCATCCCTAAGTCATCTAGACATCTAGCTGTATTTCAGTTCTACTGTATAACCCTCACTGTGAAGCATTATTTTGGTGGATTTGATTAAAAACAATTGATATTGTCCCCTGTAGTTAAAAACTTACTGCCCCTAGGGAGCCAGATAATTAGAGGAATAAAGCCAGCCAACATTCCTCACACAATTATTTTTTTTACAGATCTCCTAGAATTAGGCTTCTAATTCCGTATTTGGGCATGACTGCGTTCCTATAGCCATTCCATGTAGATGTATAAATATGGTGTGAGGGCTTTTATGCATCCTCTTTTTCTTTGTTTCCAACATCGTACCTCTCTCAATGAGCTCTAAATGAATTTGGTCAGAGTCTGTACTTGTTGCCTGCGTGGGCAACTCTTAAATCTAATGTCTTTTGATCATAAGAGATAATATCATCTCTGAACAGGAGGGAAGCCTTGATGCTTCACAAAAATTGTGTCCTCAGTGTTTGTGCCAACAACATAGGAAAGGCAGTAGTAGGACTAGAGAAGAAGATCCTCCATTGATCGTCCTGTGAAGAGAAAGATAATAGCAGATCTACAGAAGGTGTTGCTATTGTCTTCGTTACTTGATTTGAAGGAGACATGCAGCTAAGAAAGCTGCTGCAAAGAGAGTAGTTTCCAAGCAGTAAATGGAGAAGGAGAAAATCCCCAGAAATGAAGTGTCAGGCAATAGTCTGTGTTTGGCTTTCTGGAGAGTGATACTCTAGGTACAATTTTAAAATGTAAGCTCCTCATTTCTCCATGCGGATGCTCAGATCAGCAGGTAAGGATGTCAGCAGTAGAGGAGGAGGATGACCAGCTCACAGAGGGTAAGCAGTCTGTTGTATCAGAAATGTAGTCAAGGAGCATGTAAGACAGGTGGTTGAAGATTCTTTAGTATCTGATTTGATAAAACAGTGTCTGTGAGCCCAGCCTTGAGGAGTGCATATTGTTGAAGCATTGCTGATTCAATTTACCGACACTTGGATTTGTGTCTGTACATAGTGGAAATATGCATTTCCTCTCTCTTTTGTTTTTTAACCTAAGAAAGTGTTTTGGGGCCTAGATACTCCATCTCCTGAGATACTGCAGCCAGAGCACCACAGCTAGTGGTGAGAGACGGAAACTGTAGGGTGAACTGAAATCAAAGATGAAGTTCACCTTGCTTAATCTGTGAGTCACTATTTCTGGCTGTGTTCACACTATTATGACAGCTGCACTGGTTTCTGCAGTTTTTCTCCCAACTGGAGAAAAGTAAAAAGAAACTTAAGAATTTGCATCCATGAAAAAAAAAAAAAATAGAAATGATGGCAGAAATGTTCTAAATTTTCTTTGGGCTAAATAAGCAGTTCTTAAACAATTAACTTTCTAAAGCAATTCTAAATTCTGCTGAGTTGCAAAGCGTCTTCACTTTGCAGATTCAGCTTTTTTTTTTTTTTTTTAATAAACTTGCTATTAGTCTGTTTTGTGTAGATGATCCACCTGTCTGTTCTATGTAGTACACAAAGCAATATTCCTGGGCATCTTTGTAGATCCATTCTGGGCATCTCTGATTTCTCCCCATTTATTTCAGGAACGTCAACAAGCATGTTGTGTAGGTAGACTTCGTCAATGACAGATTAGCTTAGGTTTTTTAATCACTTCTGAATACGTAAGTGTAATTAATTGTACTCACAAAGACACTTTGATTGCACCTGCAAAATCAAATGCCGAGTTCTGCTTTGCCTGAAGATCTCATCTGTAATTTGTCTTTCCTCAGGTATTTCACCCATTCATGGTTCTTCTGATGAATTTTCTAGTCACGTGCTAAGCTAAATAGTATGACAGAGCAGTTAGTGTGTAGAGCTATAATCCTTTTCCTATTTTGACTAAGCACACTATAAAATCACAAAGGAAAAACCTAGTCAGCAGATCACACAGTGGACCTTCTCAAGTCTAGGTAAAAGGAGTCCACGTCACTGCTGTTAAGTAGTGAAGCCACCGTTAGAGGTCTTCTGAGACCAGTGATGTTCACATCTGCTACCTGTTTCAGTTAATTAGTGAGGGGGAAAAATGGCAATGTGTGTTTAACTTTCAGAACTGTATGATGAAGCATATAGATTCAGATTTATTTTACATTTTGCCAATCAGTGATCCAAATTCCAGGATATAGGCCAAACAAGCAATTTCATAGGGCAAATGGAGGGCCAGAGAACAGCCATTTCTTCTTATATGAGACTGATCCTGGAAACCCAGTTGGCTGCTTCTGATGCTGTTACTGCCAAGGAAGAGATCAGAGTGAATAGGAGGCTGTCTGTGCTTGTAGCTCCTCCTGAGGACAGCTGAAGTAGTTTTCCTAATATTTCAGGACTTTTCTTTAGTATTCTGTCCCCTCTTCCAACCCTTTGCATTCTTTGCTGTACCTGTCAGGGTGGATGAGGTTTGAAGCCTCGTGCTGCACTAAGCAAGAGCATTGAACTGCTAGAATTCTGCCATTTTCCTCACTTTCCAACACTCCTCTGAATGTGAGAATTCATACTGAGATCAGATATAGACATGAATTATCTATATTTCACCACCAGGATTGGTATTTCCTTTGGCAAATGTCTTACAGTTTCCTGGGAAAGTGAAGGAAAGTGAAGCAAACTGAGTTAGGGGAAAAACAATGAGATTCGCCAACTCAGTGAACAGATGTTATCTTGTTCACTGAAAAGAGACAGATTGCTTGGTAGTTCTGCAAGCCTCTGTTGACCTTATCCTCACATGATATTGCAATTTTTTATTTATTTATTTATTTATTTTGAGAAGGCCACCTCCAGACACAAGATGGCACTTCTATCAGAAAACTTATTTGGTCCTTGGCCTCCCTGCTGAAACTGCAAACAATGAACATTTACTTTCAACTGTGATGGTGGCAGAGGTAATGTGCACACCTGCCTGCAGTAGGAACTGGACCGAGGTCACCAACTCATTTCACATGGGACAGTAAATGACATGGATAGTAATTCTTGACTGTGAACTACATTTGCCTGCATACAGGCTAGTATTCCACATGGCAAGTGGTTGGAATTGTATTAGCAATTTCCTGAGCCACCTGTTCTCAATAGTTGAATGCTCATAGAGCATAGAAATTATGATAATTTAAATAAGTTGTTTTCTTTGGAGAGTCATCCAAGATTTGGAAACCCATACATTGTACAAAGGAAAGAGACAGGTGAATGCATATCATTTAGACTGGGGGATCACAATATTTTCAGCTGTGCCATGAAAAAGCCAGGTAACAAGTTAACTTCCATGCAGACAGTCAGCAGAATGATATGCTGCTAAAAGCTCATTTCAGTTTAGTCAGCTCTTCATCCAGCCTGAGTCACATTTGAGAGGGACAGTACATCGGGCTGACAAGACCCAAGCAGGCATTCAGCTTAGATAGACCTAATATAAATGATCCAGTTCAGTACACAGTAGCAATTCTACTTTCTGTAAGCTGGATCATTTCGTTTTCCACACTTTGGTTTCTAAAACTGCCCCTTGCAAGTTATAGCGATGCAAATATCTAGTTCTCACTTGAAGTTGAGATCCTTTTCCCTTTTAAAAATGGACCTATTTGTTGAAGATTCTAAAACACCAATTTACAAGCCAACTATTGAAATATTAGGATTTGATTTTTCAAACAGCCTTAATAGTGCATAGCTTCATTTGGTGATTTTCCTGGAGTTCATTCATTAGTTTGGATAAGGTGCTATGTAAGACCCAGAGGAAAGATGTTATTGAAGCTATAAACAAAAACAATTAGAATTGATTGGATTTTCTTAAAAATCTTTTGTACAGTCGTTGTTGTTGTTAGGGTCATTCTTGCCATCCTTGCAGTAGCTCTTTCTCTGCCTTGTGGCTGTTTGGTCCCAGGGTTGACTGTGATCTAACTCCAGGCCTGAAAACCAGTGATTCTCTTCATCATTTGCACCTTCATTATCACTGTCCCATAGGACAGCCTGAAACCTCAGGAATGTGACAGGGGGTGAGGATCGCACACACATCCTTTGTCACACAGTTTGGCTTGAAATGAAGTTATCTTCCTACTTTCATTCTGCTGCTGTGCTGGTGTCATGCACAGTTCATAACATAAAAAGCCTGATCAAAAGACTGAAGTCAATGGATATCTTTCAGAAGGTTTTGACCAGACAGAAGTACTTCAGTATTGGAAACTCATCTCTGTCTCAGTTGCTTGAGAGCACTTCATGTGGCACTCATTGATATTTTGATTAGGATTTTCATACTCCTGATATTATCCCACCAAAGTTAGTGGAAGGCTTCCCATTTGTTTTTGGAGGAGCAAAACAAAGACTAATATTAAGCTTCTTGTTTGTTTGTTTTTAATTTCACTCATTGCTGACAATCATCAGTGAGTCTAATGGATGTTGTATTTGAGAGAATGACTTTTCCTCTCATATCTAGACATAGTGGGTCGTGTTATCTGCTGTGTGCACCTTGTGTAGTGATCTGCTTCAACAGATATAAGGCTTAAGTACTCTTAGTCCAGTGTTTTTCACAATCATTAAACTTACTTTTAAAAATACAAGCATTAAAACCTGATTTAGAACCTCAGGAGAGTCGCTAAATGGAGGTAGATTGGCATTTCTAGAAAAAAAATAGTGCAGGATAGATGTCTGACAGATAGGAAGAAACGGAATCACAGTCAAAAAGAAGGCAAAGCAGACACCCTGGATCAGAACTAAGCAACATTAAATTCTTGTTCCTATGCCCTCTCTTTTAAGCCCATATTCCCAATAGCGGTTTTTCATCACACAATCAAACACCTACCCTGTTTCACTTTCTGGCAGAATCTATTATTGCTCATGTTTGTCTGCCCAACTGGAGACTAGAAAAATAAGTTTCGTGTCAGATAACAGGCCTGAATACTGAAAGCCTGCAATAAAACATTGAGGTCTACATTTTCAAGTAGTATGAAGTTCAAGTTCAGTACTATGGGTGAAATTGCCCGTAATTATCTGTGTACAGAATTGTGAGTATCATTACTTACACTTACAATTAGTACAACTTAGTTGTGATTATACCTATAAACTTAAAGACAGATTGAGACCTGACTAAAAATTAGAGCCACCATCTCACTCTCCAGATGTCAGATTATTGTCAAACAGTTCATCATTGTCTCGAATTAACCACTATCCATATAGGTATTTATGGATAGCTTTTGGAGAATATCAAGTGGTAAAGAACGTTAGAAAGTGTGTGGTATTGTACATAAACATATAAGAGTTTTATTTAATTATTAATCAAATGTTGAGAATGAAAGGATGAAAAAGGTAATTATGTTCTCCTAAGCACTGGTAAAAATGTGGACACTCCAGCTGTTTTACAAGTGCAAGGATACTCCTTTCATGTGTCTGCCCTGACAGAACAGAGAAAGCTGGGTGTGCTACAGAGGATATGGAGACTTTCTAGTGGAAATCAATCTAACCCATTGTTTTTCAATCTCTTCCTCTCCCTCCACCCACGTCCCGTTCCTCCCTCCCTCTTGCTAGGGAGTTTTCCAAAGAAAGAGAGAAGGCTAAGGCTCGTGGTGATTTCCAGAAGTTACGGGAAAAGCAACAGCTGGAAGAGGATTTGAAGGGATATTTAGACTGGATAACTCAAGCTGAAGACATTGACCCAGAAAATGAAGATGAAGGCATGGATGAGGAGAAGCCTCGAAACAGTAAGCAATTTTCTTCTGTCTGTCTGTCTTTCTCTTCTTGTACTAAGGGAGCCCGTGCCCACCTGCTCTAATGCTGAGATTGCCTATAAGGCAGAACAGGTTCTTTCTGAGACTCTCACTCTGCTTATACGTGATCCAAGTTTAATGCTTTTTTGGAGCTGTGGGAGGGAGAAATATGTGTAAAATAATGGATATTGTTTTACAGATCCTCAGTTTCTTGTCTATAATACTGACATTAGAACCTGATATTAAACAGGAAAAAAAGATCAATACTTGCCGTTAGAAGATCGCTACTGAGATAAGTTTTAAAATATACATCTGTCTCCTATTCATTTATTTAATTGTAGTTCAGTGTTACAGGCTATTGACACATGGTTAATTACTTTGAAAGCAAAGGTTTCTAGGCAAAGCAATGCTACAGTATGGGAGAAGGGCCAAATCAACCCTGTTGTACATTAAGTGCGCCATCTGTAACTCCATTGAAATCAAGCGGAATTGCATTTGCTTTTGCCAGGCTGAAATTAAGCTTTCAGGCGTTTCTTGTAAGAGAAGTACCTCTTTTTCTTCTGTTCTGGAGTTGAGAAGATGTTTATGCAAAGTGAGAATTCACTTTCTCTTCTGATTACAAATCCTGAAGAATGTCAGGTTTGAAGAAAGCAGAGATTCCTTGCATATCATTATTTTCATTGAATCTTCTCACTCCACCTCATCTTTTCCCAGTATAGGCTCTGTATCACTTCAGAAACACCTAGTAGGTATCATTACAGGTCATGTATTTAGGGAAATGTCAGAGCTGGAGGCTTTAGACAGCTATGTAGTTAATGGACACCTATACTACTCAGCTTTCATTGCTAAAATGTGCATTATCCCAGTTTGATTTTGGAAGAGAAGACATGAAGCATTTCCCTAGAGATCACCCTTCCTACCAAATAAGCAAAATCTATGGGGTGATCTGATCAGAACCATATATTCTAGCAACAGGAAGACCAGACACTGAAAAATTATTCCTGCAGAAAAAAAGCAAGATTTCCATCAGATGCTTATGATATTTTGGAGAAGTAAGCACTACTCTCTGCAGCTGCCAGAACACTTAAGTTCTTTCAGAAAAAATAAATAAATAAATAAATAAATAAATAAATAAATAGAACAACCACTTGTGGGGTCATGACTATCAAGTCATAACCCTGATAACTACATACTTGGATTTGAAGGAGTCATTGGGGGGACTTGCTCAGACCTCCCCAGATCAGGTTACTTTTCTTTTTATGTTGGTGCCTTCAAGTGCTTATAGCTGACTTTCATAATTTAACCTCAGTAATCGCTCAGTAATAAATTTATTCATAGACAAAATTTGCTGCTGTGTGGCGTACAATAAATGGATGATCGTGTCTGGTGATCCCATTTCCTTTCTTTATAGGCAGAATTTCCTATTATGGAAAAAAAAAAGAAAAAAAAAAAACTGTAATGGGCTCCGGTATCCTTATATGACATCTAAGTGGGGAGGCCAGTTGTCACACCACTCTGCTGAAGTCACCAGGAGGCTTTCCCTTGACTTCGTCGGGAAGTTCCTCCTAGAGACATGCCTGTTAACGAAAAGTGTAGCCACATTGCTGAGATAGTATGAAGAGAACCTACCAAAGCTACTCGCTAATTTGAACGTTTTCCTTTTTAATTAACATGAAAATAATTCTGCTTTGGTAAAAGTGTTTTGAAATAGGTCAGATGTAGTTTCATTGTATTCATTGCAACAGGATGGGATCAGTCCAAATTTGAGCTAACAAGCTCCTTTTCTGACTGGTGATACTAAGAACTGAAAGATAACATATCTTCAGCTTACAGTGCTTCTTCAAATTAATAAAGTGAGTTTGGTAAGACAGGGTTTATAAAATCCATAATATTGCATCTGACAAGTTCTCAAGAGTTTCTCCCAGTCGGCTATTAATGGCAAACTAACTTTTTACCCATTTCTCCTCCAAACTGTTTATGAATGCAGTGTATTCAGTGCTGTTGGTTCCAAGAGACAGGTCTAAGGACAGTGGTTGTTAACCAGTCCCAAACACACAGCATCTGTGGTGGTGTTGTGGGACACTTAATCAGTTCCTGTTACATGACAGACCAGGCTTGGGAACAGACGTCTGCAGTGCCTAGTGGTATACAGCAGAATCACACCTTTGTTGAGAGGAATGGCTCAGCATGTGAAGAAAGGCTGTGGACTGATGTTGACCACGTACAAGGGACGAAAGTCATGCTAACAAAAGTCTCTGAACAAGAGAATAGCAGAGACCAAGCAAACAGGTCACTCTATGAAGTGAAGCCTATTCCTCTAAAAGTTTTTTTGGTTGGTTGGTTTGGTTTGGTTGTGTTTGTTTTTTGTTTGCTTGTTTGTTTGTTGTTTTTGTTTGTTTGTTTGTTTTCCATTTAGAACAGGTTGTTGATAGCAATAATCTTGTCTGCAGCTTCGGGCTCTACAATATAAAAAGGATGTTAAAGTTCTTGAAATGGTCCAGATGAGGGCACCAAAGCAGGTGAAAGGGCTGGAAAGCATGTCCTGTGAGGACACTGGGCTGTCCCATGCTCCCTGAGGAGGGGAGGCGCAGAGGGAGGCTCCAGTCTCTGCTCCCTGGGACCGAGCATAGGGCGCACAGGAATGGCACAGAGCTGCCAGGGGACCGTCAGTCAGGGCATTAGGAGAAATGTCTTTACCTTGAGGGTGGTCAGACACTGAGAGAGGCTTCCTGCAGGGGTGGTTGATGCCCCAAGCCCCTCAGCGTTCAAGAGGTAATTGGGCAGTGTCCTCAATAATTTGCTTTAACTTTCGGTCAGCCCTGAGGTGGTCAGGCAGGTGGACTTGATAAACTTTGTAGGTCCCTTCCAACTGAAGTATTCTATAGTGTTCCACACTCTCCAGTGCTGTACCTTGACCTCCTTCTTGCCAAATGCTTTTTTCAGCTATGGAAGTAATGGATCTTTGTGCTTCCTTCCTCTGTTGGGGAAGCAAATAGCCTCAAGACACGGATGGTAAAGAGCAACACACCCTTTCCCACCCCCAGGTCCAGCCCCCCAGCCAACAAAAATACCTGGATCCATGCCCCCACCCAGCTGAGGAGTTTGCGTTCTGGCCTTTTGTATTTTATAAACCACATTCATTTTTCTTTCCTAGTAGGCTGTTGTATTTACTTTTGCCAAATTATGGGTACCATATTGTTTAAGCTCTGTTGTATTTCTCAACAAAGCAAAATAGTTTACAGACATCCTCTCCTAAGATGTCATGCTCACTTCATTTGTTGATATGCTTATCTGTCATGTATACCACACAGGAAGAAACTCACTGTATATTTACCGTATCTACCTATGTGGTTACACATCTTACATGTCCTATTGCATACAAACATACCTAAGGCTGAACCATCTCAACCCACTCTGATGCTGGAGACCAATATCTGCCTGGGATACACTGGTGGACAGCAGCACTGAAAAAGCCTATCTGCCCTCCTGAAGCTTAATCGCATTCAATCTGTGCTGCTTTTGGGGGTTGATGGATCTGCTAGCAAATAAGGTGAAGGAGCACTATGTAACAAATCAAATAGAAACAGAGGTCTTTTCCTTAATGGCTTCCATTTAAGATAACGCCATAGAAAAAGTACCATAAGTGATAAGGTATTGTTTTTATTTGTGTGTGTGTGTTTTCTACTGTGTTGAATGTTTTGACATTCATGCCAGCCGTCGTCACCAGTAGGGGTTATACTGCAGGATTGGTATTAATTCTCTTCCAACCACCATCTACAGAACATGCTCCAACTATAAAGGACAGATGGCACAGCATTTCAGACATGGTTGTAAATGCACTCAGGAGCTTATCTAGCTTGATTGCCCTCAGCCCATCTGAATCACACCTACTAAACATGCTAAGCTTCTTGGTTTTGCATTGCTGAGGCTCCAATATCTTCCTTGTCTTCTTGTGTTTAGCTCTTGCTGAAGGAGCTCAGATGCCTCCCATACAGCTTCAGTGTGGTTCTCTCTTGAGTTTTCTTCAAAACTCACTGTTTTCTCTTTCTGGTACAATGTCTTGAGGTCTACAGCAGAGTGCTTCTGCCCCTTTCCAACACACTTTGTTCAGTGATGAATTAATTAACAGTGTTGACTTTTAAGGTATCAGCCCTGAACATTTCAAATAACATTTCACTGAAGTACATAGGGCAGTTTGGTACTCCTAAAGCGGTTTATTTTAACATACTTGAAAGGTTTGCTTCAGTTATATCACACTGATGGTCAGGCAGATCTGGGTTCCAGCCAGTGAATTACACCATTACTTTAAAGAAGTCATGTTAATTTTCACTTCCTCAATTTCCCCTCGGAAGCTGTATGCAGGTTTTGGTTGTTGTTTTTTAATAAATAATATTGTAAGAGTTCAGCATTTTAATGTATACTTATTAAACTAGAGTCTCAGCTAATGTAAATCTGCAACTCTGAGACTCAGCAGTTTACACCATCTGGGCTCTGGCCCAGGTAGGCTACCTAAACTGAATCATCCCAGACACAGAGAACATATGTTTCCAGTCTCTTCTCTGCCCTTGGCTGCAGAGGCAGATTTCACTGTCTTCTTTCTCTGTAAAGAAGACTGACTGACTGCCTGTCAGCATAGCAACTGCCTCCAGTAAGACAGAGAACATGAGGCAGAAGGGAAGAGAATTGCACTTGCATTCCCTTTGGTTTGACTGCCTGTGTCAGTCTTTTGGGCATCATCAGTTGTATATTGTATATTCCACTGCTTTCCTAAAGTGGTCAAACCTTGCCCCAAGTCTCATTGAGTGTTCAAAGCCCTTAATGAAATGGTCAACAAGCCCAAGTACTACAGCAGCAAGAGCCCTGGTGGAAGAAAGGATGAGAAAGGAAGATAAATGTAGCCAGAGCTGGACAATCTGTGCAGCCTTTAGCTGATGTTCTCCATAGCAGCAGTATTAGCATTCTTCTGAGGCATTCGTTGAGAAGCGTTCACAGTT